AAATAATACCAAGAATCAATAAATAAGATCACATCATATTAAAAAGTTTCTGAAGAGCAAAGGAAATTACCAATACAATGGAGACAATTTACAGAATGAGAAAAATTTTTGCCAGCTACACCTCACACTACTATCTAGAATACATAAATAACTCCAAATAACTAAACACCCCCCCAAAATATGAAGACTCAATTAAAAAACAGACAGGCATCTGAAATGATAAAGAAGTACAAAGGGCCACTAAATACATGAAAAAATGTTCAACATTGCTAGACATTCAAGAAGTGAAAATTAAAACACTAAAGAAATGAATAATAAATGCTGGAAAGGCTATGGGGAAAAAGAAACCCTTCCTTCTTCATTGTTGGAGGGAGTATAAAGTGGCACAACCACCATGAAAATCAGTCCTCAACAAACTAAAAATAGAAATTCCAATCTGGATGTAGTGGTGCAGGCTTGTAATCTTACCATTTGGGAGACAGGCAGGAGGATTATGAGGCATTTGAGGTCAGTATGGGATACATAGTGAGTTTAAGGCCAGCCTGGACTACATAGTGAGACCCTGTCTCAACAAAACAAAATGAAACAAAATTCCATTTGATCAAGCTACTTTCTTTCTAGATATATTCTTAATAGAGTTAAGGACATCATTATTACATTGGTACATGCATACCCATGTTTATAGCAGCACAATTCATAAAAGTTCAATCTTAGAAACAGCCTAAATGCCCATCAACAGATGAGTAAAGAAAATGCGATATTATACAGAATGGAGCACTACTCTGCCATAAACAAAGATAAACTTGGAAATTTGTAGAAAAATGGATGCATCTTGAGAATATAATGTTAAGTGAAATAAATCAAACATGCAAGTTTAAATATCACATTTCTCTTTTATGAGAACCCCAATATATAAATAAAGTACAAAATTCAAGACAAAGGAAATAGTGAGATGGATCTTTGGCATATGGGATGAAAACAGAGAAGAAGGGAGGAGAAAGGGTAGTAAATGAGATTTTTAAAAAGAAGGTGGGATTGTGAAGTGCTGGGTACAATGGACCAAGTCCCTAAGAGGAAAGTGATCATGGTGTACTACAATCATCTATAAAAAATGACATATACAGTACACACACACACACACACACACACACACACACACACGAGAAGAGGTCCAAGGGATGCAGGGAGGGGGAGACAGGGAGGAGAGGGGTTAAAAACAGAACTGAGAAATGTCATGTGCATGTACCAACTCCACACAAAGAATGTAATTATTGTGCAATACAAACATGTATCAATAAAAATAATTAAAAAGTACAGTGAAAGGTATGTTATGTAAATAAGAAAAGCATAAAGACACATGAAGGTTAACTATCATATGGTTTTACATGAGAAATCTGAAGTATAGATAATTTTAAGAGCAAAATAAAAGAAAAAATGGGGACATATTTTGTGGAGATGGGAAGATCTGTGGATGAGGGATATGGGAAAGGTAAAAAAGGATCAAGATGTGATATGCACATGTACCAATTTCTCATGATGAATGTCTTTATTATGTATTACAAATACAAAAAATAGAGGAAGCAAAGAAAAAGAACAATGGGTGTGTTCAAAGTGAGGGAGAATTATTTTGAGGCAGGTTAATAGCAACATGTCTTTTATTCTAATAAATTATTTTTTACCAAAAAAAAAGGGAATAAAAAGGACATATAGTACTCATTTTGATTTCTCTCTTTCCAAGGACAAAGTGAAAAAGGTCACTGTCTTAAGTACCTTCACTAGCTGTAGGCTTTCTCACAGTACTGCATGTCAATGCAAAATGAACGAAGTAAGAAAGACAGGAAAGAATTTCATGATGAAAAAAATAACAGTTGTTTCATACCTCCAATCTCTTGTTTCTCTTCTGATGTTGCCTAAATAACACAAATTTAAAGACTAGCTTACAGAAAAAAGTATTGCATTTCTAAGTACTTGTGATATCATTGTTTATCCAGTGAAGTTGGTCTGCCCTCCCCACCATGATGCACCAAAAGAAATTAAAGCACAGAAAATGTTACTCATGTTTAAAATAACCTGTTTAACCATTCTAACAAAACTACTATAAATCAGACATTCTGAAAAACATTTTCAATGAATATCAATGAAAACATACTTTATTGATAACCAGATACTTCAAAGTTTTGATTACATACATCATGCAAAATGACTGTCTTCACACGTCTGTCTAACTGCTCACCTTTATGATTTTTTGAGATGATTACTGATTTTAAGTTAGAGTGACTGCAGTAATAAAAATCATTCAGGAAATACTTTGTAACACATATGAACATATTGTTCATCTTTTGTGGAAGACTAATTATTTCTCCTAATGTAAATAAATCTGTTTTGGAAGACTTAAATACAAAAAGTGGCAGTAGTTTTTGTATGTGCAACTACAGGTACTCCGTTGAACTGATAAAAAGTATAACAAAATAATTTAAAAATTAAATTTTCAAATAATTTTTTCATTTTGTTAATCCAAAACAGGGCAATGTCCTTTTATTTACAAATGTTTACTTTGGCTGAGCATAGTGGTACACACCTATAATCAGATACTTGGAAGGCTGAGGCAGGAAGACTGCTCAGTCCCAGTAGTCTGAGTCCTGACTGAGCAACACAGCAAGACCCTACGCTAGAGGGAAAAAAAATGTTCATTTCTTCCTGTAAATCATTTCCATAGGATGATGATTGTGTTCTGTTTAAAAGGTAGTTTATTTCTACTTATCTTTTTGAACTGGGTTGTTATTACCCAATTTCTTTTTAGTACATAGAAAGAAGCAGGGCTTCCTATTGTCAGGAAAGACTTAAGAAGACTCTTTTATATTGGTACTGAGGAAAATTTTCTACAGTGGGAAGATCAGCACTTTGGTCCTGTGGTAATTCTAGTAGCACTTGGGCATTTAGACACCTACTTTACACCTTTGACATCACCACTGACCCAGGAAAAGTGATACCATTCAAGTCAACTGGCAGTGAGTAGGTATGAAAGATTTTCCTAGATATCCAGAAGTGGGGTGTTGTGTAACAGGTAAAAAAAAAAAAAGTGGCTTTGGAATTGAGCGGTGGCAGAGGCTGGAAGAATTTTGAGGAGCATGATAGAATCCAGATTTCCTTAAAGAGATTGTTAGCAGAAATTAAGAAGTTAATGCTAGGGAGGGGACGTAGGAAGGCTGGCAGAGAATATCTAAATCACCATAAAGATTACATAAAAGGCTGTCCATATTCTACTCTTAGTAGAATCATGATGTTAAAGGTGCTGCAGAAGAAACTCTGCCATCTTAAAAGAAAGGTATAAAGAGCATGATACGAATTAAACAAAAACAAAAACAAGCTAATAAAACTACTGAACACTTTTGTGAAAAGGAAAGGGGCTGTGAAATACAGATTAATCCTAGGCCTTGAGAATTAATGGTTGAGACTGGCTGGATTTGTCAGTTGCTTGGCTCCCTTTTTCATTCCATTTTCTGCTTTTGGAACAGGAATGTCTGTAACTGTTATTCTACAGCTGTATGCAATTACATTTGGGAAGATGCAGTTTAATTTCTAGGTTCATGGGTAGAGAAGTTATGCCTGTGGATTCCCATCCAGAGTCTCTAATTGAGATGATTTAAATGGTGAGATTTGAGATTTCTGAGAGGAGAAATTCAGTTAAGGTTTTTGAATTCTGAGTTAACATATTACAGGTTTAGATTTCTGAGAACTTTTTCTTTTTTTTTTTGGTACCGGAGATCGAACTTGGGTCCTTGTGCTTGTGAGGCAGGCAGCGGAACCACTGAGCCAAATCCCCAGCCCTGAGAACTCTGAATGGGATATATTTATCTGGGATCAATGTGAATCTTTTAAGAGAGGAGTGGAGTGTGACAGGTAGGCATAATGCCTCTCCACCCAAGGTTATGTCCTAACTCCCAAAACTATGAACAAGTAACCTTAAATGACTACACACACACACACACACACACACACACACACACACACACACACACCACCCCAAAACACTGCAGATGTTAAGTAAGATTACAAGGGTATCTTAAAATGAGGAGATAATCCTCAATTATCTATCTGGAGGGCCTAATCTACTCATGTAAGTTCTTATAAGCAAAGAACTTTTCCTAGGTCTTATCATGGAGATGAGATCACAGAAAAAGGGTCAGAGATGCAATGATGGTGGATTTTAAGATGAAAGAAGGGACCACACGTCAAGGAATTAGGATAGCCCCTAGAAGCTGAGACATCAAGGAATAACTCTCCCTTAGAACCTCTTAAAAGGAATGCAGCCCTGTCAACACCTAGGTTTTAGCACTGAGACTCATTCTAAACTTTTAACCCACAGAATTTTAAGAAAATAAATCTATGTTACTTTAAGCTAAAAATTTTGTAATGTGTTCTGGGTAAATACAAAACTAATGAGAAATGGTGATCAACGAGGAAGCAGAGTCTGGGAATCTTATCTATAATTTCTGATGCAGTGTACCACACTGGAGAAATACTTGGTTTAAGCAGAAATACAAACATTTATGCTGGTAATTCTTTAGATCCAGTCTAACTGAATTTACATTTCTGTATTTCTATAGTAACTTTGTTCTGAAATAGAATTACGGGTTGAATAGGATAGTGTTTAGTATACGTAAAGGAGCCCCTAGAAAAATCTGTTGAATGAATGAATGAATATGATCAAGGTAAGCTCTGGGAGGAACTGTAGTTACCTGATATTAAAACAGTGCTTACCATTATCTTCTTAAGAACTGGTGATTTATAAATCATTTTGATTCTAGTTTATGATGGTCATAGTTCTGTAAAATAAATGTAAGACCAAACTGTATTTTGTGATATTACTACTATAGCTAAATAAGTAAAAAGTGTGTAAATCCTAATAGGAGAAATAATTGTATGATCAAATTACTTTCAAAATCAGAATATACTTTTCAGTAAATATTATAACAATTTTTCAAATTATTTGAGCAAAGAAATTCTTAATAGCTACTGGTCATTGCTGCATCAAAAAACTTTAGTGCAAATTTTACCAAATGCATTGATCAAAAAGGGGTTTTGTTCATCTCTCCAATAAATGCTGCTTTACTAACACTTAGCACGTAACAAATTGGTTTGCCTAGATGTTTATGTTATCAACATAAGTCGACCCTGCAACTAAAAATTCAAACATATTTATCTTGAGATCTCTACCTCCATACTCATCTATATTAAGCCTGGACAACAGAATATCAATAAAACCAACATTTATATGTACAATTAACAAAAATAATTTGTTTTTTTTTTATGCTTGAAGCACAGTATTTTTCTTACTGATATGGCACATTACCTATTCCTATATGCACCTGTATGGATAGGAGCAATATTATTTTAGTTGCTGGAGTATCACAGTGTTAAGAATATCTGCTTCTTGTAGTGTCAAGCTTTCATCTGTTAGCTCCTTATTTGGAAATGATGTCACAAGAATAAAGTCAAGAGTTGCAAACTCAGGACGAGACTGTACAATAAAGTCCCGGACATCCAGGATCCTGAAGAAATGAGAAAAAAATAATTTGCTATACAAGATATATTTAAAATTTTAAAAAAATTTTACAAAATACAAAATTTTATAATCAAATAGCAAGAGACCAACAATAGTTATTATGCCATGTATTGTTATTTTCAAAGTAGTTATTCAGAGTATAAGACAAATAAAAAAGATACAAAAGCAAATAGATAACACAAATCTTCATTCTCAACAAACCAAGATAAACCATAGTATAAAGGAAACCTATTAGCATATATATGGAAATATTTTTAAAACAATGGAAATTGTAATTTCGGGAAGTATTTGAACTTCTACTTTCTAGTTATCTCTTGTTTTTTATTTGTGTTTCTTATATACAAGAACCCATGTGATATTTAAACTTATAGGTCTAACTTACTTCACTAAACATTTCTCTGTGAGCTTTTAGCTATACTCAGATCTTAAAGATTAACTTTGGCGTGTTCCTGAGACTTACTTTTCCTGCAAAACAGAAACAATCTTGAGGTGGGATATAAATACAGTTAATTATTAACAATATTGTTTTTCTGAAAATGCAAGCCCTGCTTTTTTTTCCAGAATATAAAATACATTAGCAGCATATGGCCAACAAAAAGGTAACTTGGATTGGCATATGGCAGCATGAGTCTAAAGTGTAAATTCTAAGAATAATTTTTAAAAATTTCTCTTAAACATAGCAGCAACTCAACTCAAGATGATAAATGTATCCCATAGGGTCTTGATTCCATGAATAAAAATATTTTACGGGCACAAATCTCAGTGTCCAATTTTAAAAGGATACTTAAAAATAATTTGAAGTACTACACAGCATAATTAAGCTATACTTACGCTGTACATATTTATATGTAGAATTTTCTATACAGAAAGTTAATCCCAAATAGAATTACTACAAATTCTTTAAGGTTCTACTATGTTGGATTAAGTCTGATTCCACTTCATATGGTTTTGTCAGCAGTGCAATACTACAACTTTTGGTTTATTTTGTGTGGTATCTCAAATTATATTAGTATTTGAATGGTTTACAGAGATTACTATTTCATTTCTTATATAGGTATTATCCTTTTATTTCTTTTGACAAATAAATAATTTCATATTATAAGTACTTAAGTTGTATATAGTTTTACTTGGGTAATAGCAAGCTAGACACTCTGCTGCTAATCGAGCTTACCTGTGTGTACTATTGAATCTTTGTATCAAACGGCTGCCATCTGCTAACCTGATTTGAATTTTCGTAGTTGGCACTGAATCATCAATAAGAACAACTGCATTAAGAATAGATTTGTCCTCTTCTTCTGGGGAGGAAGGTGTACTAACTATTTCAGGTGTAAGGCTAAGAAGGAAGGATTTAAGATTTAGAATACAAATCTGAATAAGTACAACAAAAAATAAAAGATAAATACTTAAATGTACAGCTGATACTCAAGTGATTGCTCATGATTTCTGGAGAAGCAAGAACATGGCTTTGCTTGAGTCTCCTCTACTCCATCCAGCTTCTTTCATTGTACAGTATTAAAATTCTTTTGTATTCTATGGTTCTATATCTATCTAATATCTCTCAGAAGTCTGACTTTTGTATCCTTTCTACAATTATCTTTTTAGAATTTCATCAGGCTACCTGGCATAAGAGTTTTTACATCAGGCCAGAGATTTAGCTCAGTGGTTCCACCACCTGCCTCACTAAGCACAAGGACCTGAGTTCGATCTCTGGTACCAAAAAAGAGGAATTTTTACATCAACCTTAATATTTAGCTTTTAAAGTTTTCACTACTTAAAACTTTCCTGTCATTCATCAGACCACAGTGACTTTTACATTGTTTTGTTTCATTCAAGTTTAAATGAAAAAGAAAATTATCATTATTCCTCAATGATATAGTATAATACATTTTTACAGAGTATTTATATTTGATTTTACACAGTATTTATATTTGATATTATACATAATCTAGAGATAAATTAAAGTACACAGGAGGGTGGGTGTAGGTCATAAGTAAATACATTTTTGCCTCAATTAACTAGAGGGATAAATTCTGAGAAATGCATTATTAGGTGACTTCATTCATAGGGTTTATTATTGTGTGAATATCATTCAGTTCTTACATACAGTTTGCTTATAAAAGCAGAGAAGGCTGTATCGTCTAGTCTATAAAGGTACATGGCACAGTGTATTCCTAAGGCTATGATGAACAAAAGAATAGAGTAAGTCAAATACAGGAGAAAATGATGTAGGCAAGAAATGTGGCAAAGATGAGATGTATGAGGCCACTGCCAGCATGACAGAGTATTGTTTTACAATAAACTTTAATAAAATACATAAGTGTATAAACCAGCAACAACTATTCATTAGCAAGTATTGTGTCGTTTACATAGGTGTATGTACTCTACTTTCATAAGACTGGCACAGTGAGGAAGTTTATACCACAAAATCACACATCACCACAAAGCACTGTGCAAAATTTTCAGCTACACTACCATCTTATGGGACTACTGTATATGTGGTTCTCTGTTGACTGAGATGTTGTAATGCAGCACATGACTGCCACTTTATATACAGGACTTCAGGAACTGTGCATTTCTGTATGCCCAGGTCCTAGGACCAAGCACCTGCAGATACTGAGTGTCAACTACTGTACTCGTACTATCAAAGTGATCACTATGAAGTGGAAGCTGTATAGCTCTTCCGGCTACCAAGGTGGTGGAGCTGTTTGGCTTTTCCAGCACAGCCATGATGGAATGTTCTAGAGTTCCTAGCTTCATGGGCACCGAGTATCTGACAGAGGGTACAGGTATTTTCTTTACAAGAGTGCTAATTTATATTTGTTTCTCCTGCCAAAGAAAGCTTGGTTTGCTGCCTCTCCGGGATGTTAATAAAACTCTTAAAAATTTATTTACTTAAAATAGCAAGCATATTGCTTTCTATAATCAAAATTCTGTTCAATATGGTTAGTGATTAACATGGCAATCTTATCACTGATCTCTCTCCCATCAGTTTCTCGTCTTTTTTGTCATTTTCTCTAGCTATTTTCTTTATAATGAAAAAGGCTGGCTTTTGTGAGATACTATCATCAGATAACCTACTATCTCACATTCATGAGGTGAATTTGCAAATTATAAACAATGGCTCTTCTCAGCAGTCTTTTCTTTATGCTATCTCCTCTTGGATTTAAATTGATTTACTGTACTAACAGATTACATGTAAACAGAAATTCTTGGTCACAAATTTAAACACAAACAGCAAAGAAATCACTGGGCATTTTACTTGTTGCAATTAAAAATCATAATTTCAAAAACGTCAAATTAAAATCAGAAGGGCTAGAAAAATGGCGGGGGGTTCCTAGTTATGATTTTTTAAAAAAATCAATCAAACAAACAAAAACCAAGAAGGAAGAAGCCTGACGTGGCTGGCAGTAAAGAAAGATAAGGAAGAACATTTCTAAGTAGACCTGTGATTGGACAGTGATGAGTTTAAATCCTAGGGGAAAAAAAAAAGGTCAACACATCTTCCTGAATTCCCTATATATTCCAGAAAGCAATCTTTATCAGGAGAAAAGAACAGAAGAAGGTAGTATGGAGACACAAGCATATGAAGAGCCAATATTAATTTCCTTCCTATTTTGAGAGAGGAGAAAAGACAACTATTGTACAAAGCATTAAAGTGGACTCAGAAGGGAAAGAATCACAAAAAGGAATAAAGGGTGCACAAAATGATACACTGTGGCATCAACAATGCTACAATCTCACATCACCTGCAGTAATATGGGAACAGAGGGTAAATTTACCAACATATTTTATATAATTTAAGAAGACTGTATGAGGATTCCACTCATACATTCTGACATGCCCCCTACAGAGAAGCTCACATTTTAGATACTGGACTTCCATAACTTGAAGAAAAATATTTGGCTGTATAAAAAAAACTACTGAAAATCACCAATCTAAGTACACCCCTCCTATGGCAAGCTCTATGTAATTACTTCAGACAGAGAGGGATGCTTCAAGTTGTGATAAAAGATATCCACCATTTAATCTAATAGCCCTTTACAATTTCCCTTTCTGAAACCACATAATCTGAAAGAGGCATATGACATAATGCCAGTGTTTTAATCTTTCATTTCCTAGTTCAATCATGAGCAAATTATCACTTCTGCAAAACAGAGTAGTAAGAGTCTCAAAGAATTGTTATTAAGAGATCTAGTGCATATAAAGTGCTTACAATATCGGGACTGTGGTAACTGCTAAGTATTAGCTATGAATATGACCACATATGTATATCTAATTATACCAGGAAGGTCTTCATAGTTCAGATTTCAGTTTTATGTCACAGGCTTTTTCAGTCTCAAAATTCATGTTGAAAAAAGAACTATTTTTTTCATTGTAATTTTTTACCTTCCAAGTTTTTGCCCTTCTCCACTAAAAGCCTTGAACCTCAATCTAGGTTTTATGTATTCTTGATCCTGGTGATCCTCCATATCCAAATTCACTTGGCCACCATGAACCAGTCGCTGGAGCTCCAAAGGAATCTCTCTTAAAAAGATGGGGAAAAAGTTTAATTATGGTTTTAAAAAATTATTAAGAGTTATACTGCAAAAGAATAATTTTTGTTTAACTAAATTATTTCCATGTTGATGGATCAGTCCACATAAATCTTTCTTGATTATCTCACTCTGATCCTCAGTGGTTCTCGGCACAGAACATTGTTGCTTTTCAGAGCGACCTTGGAGTGCATTTTATAAAGTTAAAATGTAAATCAGCAATTGATATCTAAATTAGCTCTAGGAAATTTCTATAAGGATAACTACTTAATGTAAACATTTATTTTTAAACTCCATCCAGGAAGTTCTGAAAACTGATAGATGTTCTTTGATCGTTGCATGAGTAATTAGCACTAGTGTAGTGCAGTATGGGGGCAGGGGGGTGGGAGATACAAGGTCTTGATCAAAGACTGGTCCTAGTTTCCACAGAATCAAGAGTGCCCTAATAGTGTTGTAATGACTAAGCCTAAAACTTACCCCTGTCCTACAAATAAACAAAAAACCACTTTTGGATATTTCATTAATATGCTTTGAAATTTCCAAGAATTTGTCTGCCATGTAAGTTGAGGTAAGGCTGCACTTTGCTCTGTGTAGACCTTAAAAGTCCCTGAATGCAATGCTACTCATAGTAACTAAGCTGACGTCACATATCTCATTACTCTATTTTTATTATCTGTAACATCTACATGAGCAGTGCTAGACTTCACAGAGGAAAACTAATGACTTCTTATATCTGTTCGTGTGGTCATACTCAGGCACTTATAAATTGAAATAGTTATCAATTTCTGATAAGTCACTTTAATATATTTAAGGTAAAATTATAATTGTATCAATTATAAGCTACAATTAAAATCATGTCAATTTTGTAAGAAAACTGTACTGTTGATGTGTACTGAAGATTATATTATCTATAAGTTCTTCTTTTAGGACAGTGAAAACTAATACAAAATATTGCAAAAAGAAAACAATGGGTCTTACACAGTAAAGACCACTAACTGGAATTGTTCATTTCTTCAAGGAGCTTCTTTTTTAAAAATTAATTTTATTGGTACATTTTAGGTATACAATATAATTACATTCATCACTGGAAATTTGTACCTTACATAATCTATCGCAGTTCTTATTTTTACCCCATTTCCCTGTCTTTCCTTCAACCCCTCCACCCCTGTTTATTTACAAAGACTTTGTATCCATTTTTTCCTTTTGTCATACTCATTTCATTCCCTTCTTTCTTCTACCTCTCCCACTCCCCTTCCCCTCTGGATCTTTTGTTCCTATTTCACAGTATTTATTTTTCTAAAACTCTTCTTGATCAGAATTTATACTTGGTAAAATGGCTCAAATCTAAAAATCTCAATATACAACTCATCTGAACATTAACCTACAAAGTGTATGAATTAATTTAACAAAAAAGTTAGGTTTTGATCTTTATCATACAATCAGATCATCAGTATGTTTTTCATCTTCATCTGGAAATTAGCATCAATTTCAACAGCAAAACTAGTTTTCACTTAGTGGTTGAACATTTCCCCATCCATTTGCTCCCAACTGTATCCAGTGACTTTGAAAGTTTTCAGCTCCACAGCACTGACTTAAATTGCTATATTCAAGTATTTACCACCATATACTGGCTCTCAGAAAGCTTCCCATCTTTCTCAATGATTTTTTTTCAACATACTGTTTATAGCATTTCTTATCTTTGCTTGGTAGGTATCTTGACATTATCTATGCAGAATTTAAATACAAAATGCATGATAATTCATCTGAAATTCTTTTTCTTCAGATTTACTTGGTTAACTGAACTCCACATAATTTCATTTCCATTCCTCTTCAGCCACCTTCCCCGAACATATTTCATCTTTTAGAAAAAGCCCTACCTTCAATTCCTTCATGGAGTATAATCTATTCTCCTTTCATTAACTTTATGTGTTTAGCTGTATTCCTACTTAGGAACAATTCAGTTGTCAACCAGTGAAATGATAATGCAGAAAAGCTTTTATTATTATAGCAAAATAAATTGATTCCCCAACCTTTAACAAGAATGTGAATTACAATGTTCTTCGGAAGGGATAGAGCACTGTGTTTTTGGTTCATTTTCATAAAATGTAATTTCAAACTAACCTTTTGAAATCTTCTGCCACCAGCAGTAATTCCACTTTAAAAGATTTCTAATACAAGTTGCTGAATTTCAGGTGAACATGCACTGAGAATCACATTGTCAAGAGTAAGCAGGACAGTGGCTTAGTGGATTGGCAGTGACATGCTAATCAATCCACTGATTTATTACATTAAAATGATTCTTCTTGGAGTTGAGTCCATAGATTCTTCAGATTTAAAAAGAGGTCAATATTCAATGCTCCTTCCCCACAAAGAACCACAACATTCATCTCTCTAGCAACCACCATTCAATATATTCCAGTAACTAACTCTTAAAAACTAGCAGTACACTACTGAACAATATTTCATTTAAAAAGTCCCACTCTAGGTAACAAACAGAATACAAATGATACATCTTACCCTCTCTTAACAGACTCTAAAAATTGAGCATTTGTTGGGTCATTATAAGGTCTCAATTCTCCATCATCTAAACTGAAACCGTTGCTCCACAGTTTAAGCAAAATCTGAACCTTTTGGACATAGAAAACAAAAAGTATAAGAATCCATCTCCATCAAACAATTGAAGATGCAAGTGTGATTGTCTTATAATATACTATATCATTTACATGATGTAAAATAGAGATATTTGTACTATACCATGTAACTATGAAATCAACCAGTAACAAATGCTGGCTGGGGTGTGAGGAGAAAGGAACCCTTCTTCATTGTTGGTAGGAATGCAGACTAGTGCAACCACTGTGGAAATCAATATGGAGATACCTTAAACAACAAGGATTTGAAATCCCATTTGACCCAGCTATTGCTCTGCAGGGTCTCTTCCCAAAAGAATCAAACCACAGAGATATATGCTCATAGCAGCACAGTTTAATGGCTAAAATTTGGAAACTGCCCACCAACTGAAACTGGAGAAGGTGTGTGCGTGTGTGTGTGTGTGTGTTTATAAAATGGAGCACTACTTAGCCATAAAGAAGGAGGAAATAGACATTTATAGCTAAGTGGGTGCACACTGAGGCCATACTCTTGTGAAATTAATAAGTCACACATATGTAAATACCAAATAGTTTCTCTGGTGTGAAAAACTAAAAGTATAAATAAGGATCAAAATGTATAACTGATATTGTGTAATAGGAAGAAAAGGTCTAAAAGAGTAGAAGTGGGAGGGATAGGGGAAAGGTAAAAAGGGAAAATAAAAAATATATGAAAAGGAAAAACATGGAAACAATGTTTCTGTAAACAGGGAAGGGTGGAGGGGCTAGAGGGAGGGCTGAGGAATGGGGAAAAATAAGAACCAAGGTAAGTCATGTAAAGGTACAAGACCCCAATGATGAATGTAACTGTATCACAGTATGCAATTTATGATTATTATATATATTAAAGGTCATTCTGATGGTGATTTATACATTCTTTCCATAGGTAAGTATTTCTAATTCATGAGTGAGAAAAAAATTTGAGACTGAAAACTCATACATTCTTTTAATCCACGCTTAAACTAGTAATAGAGATTATACTCATATTATTAATTTTTAATTTTACAAACAAACAATAGGAATTAGAGGAAAATACCTATACATTTTCATTTTATTATACTTACATCTTGCAGCTGATTTTCTCCATATATGTATTCAGACCGTTTACAAAAGGAATTACCCAGTCTATATCCTCCACCTGTAAATGACTAAAGTATATACCGAGTTAAAAATTCACTAACACTTATTTATCAAAATGTTATTATTACAGCTAGGGAAATCCTAGTTTGCCCAACTGGTTGATTCTACAAAAATTTTACATTAGAATTAAGGTCTTATAGAGAAATACACTCAAGAAATTAAGTTTCTTTTCATAAAAACACTAGTGATTCAGAAGTTGAGCTAATTTGGGCAAATCTTAAAACAAGATACACATTTATACACTGAAATATACATTTACAATTACATATAAATTCACAAAGGCCATCACAAGTATTATATGACAAGTCTTATAATAAATTATGATTAGACCATATTTCATGAAGTCAAAGTTTCACAGAGCAAAGAAATTTTGTAAGGAAGTATAAATTACTAGCCATCAGGAAAATGCAAATTAACATCATTAATCATTAGGAAAAGGCAAATTAAGGCCACACTGTGTTATCACAACATACTTATCAAAATTGCTAAAATTAAAAATAGTAGCTGGGGATTTAACTCAGTGGTTCCGCTGCTTGCCTCACAAGCGCAAGGTCCTGAGTTCGATCCCTGGTACCAAAAATAAATATGTAAACAAATAAAAAATAAAAATAAAAATAGTAATATCAAATGCTGACAAGGATGCAGAGAAACTGGATCTCTCACATACTGTGTGAGAATATAAAATGGTACAACCATTTTGGAATAGGATACCATTAGTAATGCAAAGAACAAAGAGCCAATAAATACAGTAACTATGATGGATCTCAAGGACATTCTGTGGAGTGAAATGATATTCTTGAAAGATCACCTATTATATGATTCCATTTGTACAACATTCTTAATATTACAAAATTACTGAGATGGAAAAAGATTAGTGGAAGCCAGTGATTAAGAGTGGTGAGAGGGAAGGTGGTGGGGAACAACGAGAGAAAGCTTTGCTGTAATAGAATAGTATCTTGAATAAGTTGATTATTACATAAAACTATACATGATAAAATGACATAGAACTAACTATATATAATGTATGTTACAACGTCAAACTCCTAGCTTTGATCTTGTACTGTATAATCATATAAAATGGACTCAGAGGGGGAAACTGGGCAAAAGGTTTATTCGGTATTCTTGTAAAGTCTTGTGAACCTACAATTATCTCAAAATTGAAAGAAAATTAAAAATTACATAGAAAAGAAAGTGCCTCAACTTTCAATCATTAATATGTCCAACCTCATAAAAATGAAGATATTTAAAATAAGTTAGAATATTTACAAACTGAAAAATTAATGAAATCAAATATAGAAGTTATTTAATTTCAAAATAACACAGACCTTACATTTGTCATCACTTGAAGATCTTGTGGCTTCATTTAGAGGGATAGCCCCATGTTCCTTTGCTTCTTTAAAAAGTTCATTCACAATTTTCCCAGTTGAAGGTCGAACTATACGTAATCCACTGTATTCATGTTCACCTGAATAAAATCTTTAAGCATTATAGTTCATGAGTAAAAATTTAGAATAGATAAACTATGAGAAACTGCATAATAAACTACATGGTCTTATAAAATTTCCATTTAAAAAAGGCATTCCTGACTTCTATGGAAATATTTTTAAAAACAAGATTAACGAAAAGATCAAATAGGAAACAGTTCATATATTTTTTTCTTCTCACTGAATTTGTAGAAATTCTAACAGCCAGTAATTCCTCTAAGAATTAAGCTGTCACACAGTTTTTTAAAATTCAACCTGTGCTTTAATTGGACTATTTAGATCACTTACACAAGATACAATTTTGATATAGTTATGATTTGGTTATGCTTGAATTCAATTCTCATTTTCTTATTCCTTGACTTCTGATGAATTAGTCAAATACTGTTTTACTCCACTCATCAGTTAGCTATGATTTTATAATTTTTTAAGGCCCAATTCTGTGCTGGGCATAATATACACTTTAACTCATTTAATTCTCAAAGCAGTACTACTACACAAAAATGTGTAGAGAACATTTAAATTTTGTGATATGTACCCTCTTGTGGATAATGCATTAAAAGCAGGTATTGGAGTGTATTTTTTTTCTGGATTTGTACCTCCTTTTGTAAATTGAAAACATATACCACATTATGTCTAGAATTTTAATAATGAAACTATATTGGCTTAAAAAGACAAGGAGCACATGACTGTTTTCATTTCTAATACTTTCCTAGGAGGTGAACATGAAAATAAGCACCAAACAATTCAGCAAAAATACATTGACACTGGGCAAATGTTGATACTGAATATAAAAACAAAAGAACTGTATATGTGCTTATGTTTAAGTGTTAGAAAATATGCTTAGAAAAAAAATAGACTGCCAATAATTTGCAAGTGACTGACAATTTAAGTGTCAACATCTTTAAAAAAATACATACTCTGGATATGTAAATAACTCTAGAAATCAAATCTGAGGCACAAGGACCTTTAAAACCACATTATAAGTTGGGGATGTGGGTCAGTGGTAGAGTGCATACCCAGCATGCACAAAGGCCAGGCTTCAACCCTGGCAACCTTTAGCACCAAAACCCAAAGCAAAATAAAAATAATATATTATCAAATTAAAATGATTAATAAAAACACTGTTTTACGTAGCTTAAAAAGCAAAACTGCTAACATATATCAATGATTATATATGAATAACAAGGAAAATATGAATATACCCAATTTTAGTGTAACAACACAAATATTTCAATGTGCCACCCAATAAGTAAATTTAGTCATTCAGCATATGCTGAAACTGGGGAAAACAAAGGCTAAATACTGAATTAGTAAAACTGAGGTTCACAAAAATATAGTAAGTACTTCAAAAATTTGGGAGAAAGTACAAATTAAGGAAGAAGCTAAAAAATATATAAGATGTGATTGAAAATATGGTGAGTACACATTTTGTTTAATTTATTACAGTAAAAGACACATTGCCATTAACTCCCCTCAAAATACTTCCCCTCACTTTGACCACACATACCCCATCATTCTTTTTTTACTATTTAATGCTTATTTATGAAAAAATCAAACAAAATTTCATAACAAAGTAATAAGAGAATAACAATAGTTAATACACTGTATATCATTATCTTCAAAGTAGTTACTCAGAGTACAAGACATGTCACTTTCTGAAACAGTTATGAAAGTCCTTTTTCTCAAGTGTCTTTAATTATGCTGTAGTGGCTGCCTTGATGTTTTCAATTGACTCAAACTGTTTACCGGTATTTCATGGTCATTTT